TGGCTTTTTCAGGTGAAGTATATAGAGTGTCATCACTGTCAGAATTGGCATTCATATCAATACTTTTAGAATTGCAGTCTTCTACCTGTCACGCTCCACACGTTGGCGGGGCTCTGCTGGAGTATTGTATCAGCTTTCATTGCACGCTGGTTAACCAAGACTTCCCAGCACAAAAGAGAGAGAGAGAGATACTGTGACTGTCACCGTGTCACAAGACAGATCTTCTGTCTGAAGTGCTGAGGAACAATCCTGTCCGACTCAATCTCACTCATTACTTTGTGCTCAAGAAAGTTGCAAAAAGTAGCAGAGATCAAGCAAAGGAATGCCAGGGATGATTAAATGATCAGGTGAGATCAGATGGAGGCCTCCAAAATTCAGAGGGATCCTCTCTTCAGCAGCTGACACTGAGCTTAAAGGAGGATAATGATGGGTGAGAAAGCAGCTCCCACAAAGCAACACTGCTGGCACACTGGGGAAGGTGTGGAGATGTTGTCACAGGAAAGACTGGATGTGTGTCAAAACAAGAGCTTCCAGCTCTCTGTTATGCAGCTCTGGCTCCTCGCTCTGTGATATTACTCCCATTCTTACCTCCTCTCTGCACACTGCTTGTCTTTCCCTACGGTCTTTCTTTCTCTCTCTTTCTTTTCCTCCTTGCTTTATCTTTTTACATATATAACTCCTTTCTTTATCCCGTGCCAGATGCAAAGCAGATCTATATAAATTAGAGTTCATGTCTTCAAAGTAATCCTTTGTGTTGCAGGTTGCTTTTACTGCGCTAATTTGATTTTAACCTGAGCAGATTTCATGGGAACATAATACTTTTGATCAATGCTGTAATTGCGTGAATATTTTAGGCCTTGTTCCCAGTTTTTGCCATAATTTGATGAGGAACTTCGCCATAATTGAATATTCAAATTAGGAGTATGTGTCAATATGGCTCTCCTTGCCTGGAATGAGGATTAATTGTTTTCAAAACTCCAGTGGCCGACATAATGTGAGCCCAAACACTGTTGTTGATTAGCAAATGCTTTTGCCATGTTTTTGTTTTAAGAATTAGTTGTCTAATTGATTTGCCATATGCTACCCTCTCCAATGCACCTAAAATTGTATTTAGAAATCAGTAACTTGGATCAAGATTTTTTTCCTCTTTTTTTCTAGTTTTCAAACAGATGGGAAAACCATCCCAGAATGTTGCCTTTCCACTATAAAGTATAATTTTCAAGTTTTTTAAATAGCAGAAATTATATTGGTTGAACTGTTCAAGCATATTTGTTTAATCTTGAAACAAAAATGTAACTAAAGTTAGCTCAATAATGTAAGGTTTATGCCTGTTGTCTCCAAACAATAAATCAGGCTTTGATACGTTTATATTGAACTGGATTATGAGTGAAAATGTCAACATAGTAAAAGCTGAGAACTGTCCAGGGTATTTGATAGAGAATATCTCTGTTCTATGGTTCTTTGGAGCAGATATTGCTTAATTACCAAATTTTGTTAATGCTTACTGCCGGCCGTACACTGTACGATATATTTTCAGTCATTGTACTCAGCTACAGCTCAAACTGTACGAAGAAATTGCAAGGTTTAAAAGTTCTCCGCTCACAAATTATGCTCTTACACCGTACGGCCGAGGCTCTGATGTGATCTAACTATTCACACTGTACGTCTAAAAACCACACCTCGGACTCAGCACCGAGAGATGGCATTGGTTGCACTTGTTAATGTGGAAAAATAAGTAGAACTCCCTTGTTTACACATGTGCAGTGTGTGGGGTTCTAAAAAATCAGTTTGTAGATGTTGTGACAATCCTATCTGTACCGGAGCACAATCCACACCATCATCCATTCATCCAGGTTTCCATAAATAATGTAATTAAGGTACTAAAAATGCTTATTTTTAATCATTAAATCAATAAATAATGCTACACTACATCTTGTCATGATTGGTTTACAGCTAAACCCACATGCAGAACACAAACGGAGGCTGAGTAAAAGTTTAACAGAGTTTATTGAAAAAGGTTTTCACACAAAGACATGAACAGGTTCTGGTACTGGTCCGGGTTGGGTTCACTGATGTCTGCAGAGACGGACAGTTTGATTAGCCAGGCAGTCAGATGATTAATTGAGTCTTTAGATAATTCAGAGTCTACCTTGAAGAAGTCCAGGCTTTACTTGTGAGAGAGGGAACCGTTGGGTCCAGAGACTGTTGGTTCAGCAGAGTGCACAAGCAGCGGCAGCGTCTAGCTTCTGACTTTGAATGGCAGACCTTGATCAGAGTTTCCAGCTCTTCTCTGAGAGCAGCAGGAAAAATCCAGATTGGAATCTTCAGGTTTGGCTCACCAGGACTGGCAGGCAGGTTAAGCTCATCCAGAGCTTCAGACTTGAGACGGGTTTCCTGTGAGCAAAGACAGAGGCAGATTAGAATCAGGTTTCTCTCTTGAGATAACAAAGATTCTTTCAGGTAACAGAGGCTCAGGTTCGCTAACCAAACTAGGTCAACACTGCGGCGTCGAAGGAAGGTCTGGTTGCTGCTTATGAAGGCAGGTCTCCTGATGGGTTGATGAACGTCAGGTGTGCTGGAGGGCTCCAGCCCAGGAGACCCACAGCGCACTCTGCTGGAGAAAGGTGGTACATCTCCAGATCCCAACACATCTCTAAAAATACTAAATTTTCATGCTTTTTACATTTTCTCTATTAAACAGCTCGTCTGACATCATCATCGGACATGCTCAGAGTAGTCGGGCAACATATGATTAAACCATATTTATCTGAATTTTAGTTGTTTTCTTTCTATAGATTACACACTACATACCATAAGGTTAGCACGAAAAGAAAAAAATAAAACTAAAAAAGAATAGATTTAGCTGCTCAGTGGAGCAGCAAAAAGGTTCAGGTTTGATTCCCTGCCTGGGGTCTTTCTGCATGGAGTTTGCATGTTCTCCCTGAGCATGCGTGGGTTCTCTCTGGGTGCTCCGGTTTCCTCCCACTGTCCAAAAACATGACTGTTAGGTTAATTTGCTTCTCTAGATTCTCCTTAGGTGTGAGTGTGTGTGTGAATGGTTGTATGTCCTGTTTGTCTCTGTGTTGCCCTGGCGATCTGTCACGGGTGAACCCCGCCTCTCGCCCGTAGACAGCTGGAGACTACCTTTAGGGAGACTACCTTTAGGGAGGGCAACAATGTAATTTAGGTATTTCTTACAAAGTAAAATGGAGGGAGATCCGGATGTATATCTGCTTGCACATGTGCAAAAAAACTGATGGTACGGATAGTGCTACTGGTACGGATTGGGTAGTGACAGATTTCAGACTTACTAGCTGAGTTTCTTCTTCCTGAGGCCGTTATTGCTAGCTCTGCCTATAAGGGAAAATATTTGTGTCAAACTGATGGAACGGATTTCAAAGGTGTCTAATTATTTTACGTTCTTTCCATTTTAGTGTGTCATACAGGGGAAACAGATGAGTGAAATGTTCTCAATAATTATTCAAAACTATGCATTTTTCTTTTTTAAATATGCATTTTACACTATCTCTAAAATATCTACTTAAAACTAAAAATAAACCTTGGTAAATGTGGTTAGACTGGCTAAAATCTAACAGTTTCTATCAACCTTTTCATGAGCTAATACTTTTATGTTACAGCTTTCCCTATAAACAAATGAATAACAAGTCTTAAAGGCATTTTCTTTGTTCCTTTGTTTATTCTGACTATTGGTACGACAATAACAACGCAGAGCGCAACCCTTAAAAGACATTTCCACCATCTGGCTCTACTTTATCTGGCCATGTGATGTCTTTGTGCTTTGAAAGATGTGTACCTTTTTTTTCCCCAGCAATGGGATCAACCTTTGCGAGGTAAAAGAAATCTCCGCTGAATGTGGCAGTTGTTCCCCACAAGATTGATGCCAACCTTTTAAAAATTCACCATTGGCCCGGATTTAACATGGCCAAATGCTGATGTAAATGAGGTGGAGAAAAGTCGACCCTTTCACTGCAAATAAATCTGAGTTGCAGGCTTCATCTCATAAATACCACAGCCTGTCACAATTCTTGTTTTATTGCTGTTGATGGAAATTATTGCGTTTATTTATCTCGTCCGCAGAGATAAAGCTTTGAAAGTCACAACTCAAGGTGTGGCGCACTCAGAACATGCAGATCTAGCTGGTGAATTACATTTTGTGTGTGCTTTAGTTTACCTCTTACCCCCTTCTAACAGAAAGGAATAATATTTCCCCATAAATAGACAATTAACAGAACAAAATGCATGACTACTTTCATTATTTGAATTCAGATTCTGTTTATTTTTTATTCGAACTGTCCTCTAATTTATAAAAGATTTTAAATGAAATTTCTTAATTATCTTTGTTATAATTTCAGATAATTCAATAAACAGATACTGGAAATATTTTAACATCCAAAGCTTGTCATGTTAAGCAGCTCTTTCTCAAAGCTGAGATTTTTTCCCCCCCTGTTTGCTGCAGATTTATCGATCTGTGGGGGTGAGTCACAGGGCGTAATTCATGATAGCTTGATTGATGAGGATTTCAATCTTATATGGTTTGTTAACTTCAACTACCCACAAAGTGCATTCTTTGCTGTTTTCTGTAATACAAGGACATGAAAAAAAAAAAAAAAAAAAAAAAAACTTGTCTTCCCTTTGAATAATGGAATCTCTCAGTTCCTCAGAATTAACAAGATCCCGCTCCAAAGGTCTGTTCAAGCCCCTGGGCAGCCGAGGCACTGTTGAACTTCTACCATGTTTCCCCCGCTCTGAATTCACTTTAATCCAATGCTCTTTTTTGCTCCTAGACAGTTCAGAAAGTACTTGTGTTCAGAGGGAAATTAGATTTTTGAATACATTTATTTAAAAAGTCTGAGCTACATCTCTTGAAATAAATCATTTGACAGGCAGAGTTTCTTTCTATTTTGTATTTGATTGAATTCAGACGTTATTTAGTTTGTTTTATTGACTTCATGAATGCTCCTTTTTTTTATCCCTTACAGCAGGATTGCCACCAGCAGACAACATGAGCAGCAGAATGCTGGCATTTACACTATGACAGGTAGGTGATCACACTAATAGGTTATTTACATTTAGAGATTATATTTAGCAGTCTGTAAATTTACTAGTATTTCTGTTGTAATAGATCTGATGTTTTAAGCTCTCCTTCTCAGCTTTACTAATCAGTAGTAGATAACAATAATCTCTTACAGATTGTAGGACCTAACTTTATAATAGTAAACTTTAAGCATTCATCACACTTTCTCACGTTTCTAATTGATATTCATCAGTTGGAGTGATTAAACTGGATTTTAGTACATCTCTTATTCAAAATGTTTTGCCACATTGAACAAGCTGATCTAAAAATAAGTACACTTTTTCTTAAAAATAAGTGTATTTAGGCTTAATTTGAGCAGATAAATAGGAAGAATCCGGATTTTATCCCTTAAATAAGATAATTAGACATTATGCAGTTAAAATAAGGCAGTTGAACAGTTATTTTTTCTCTTATTTCAAATTAAATCAACTTATTTTATTTGCAAATTGTCTTACTTACCTTCTCAAATCAACAAAAATACTCTTACTTCAAGAAAGAAATGTTTATATTAAAATATTTGCAGTGTAATCTTCCCTATCACCTTACAGGCGGTTTACTGTCTGAGCATAAGTGTAAAGCAAGCCTTTCTCTATTTGATCTACATGTGTTTCGTAAGGAGTGTCTCAGAGATGGATACTGTACAGGGCTTTGCTTATCCCAGGGAACGTGACTTCCCAGAGGAGCTGGGCATTAACAGCTGTCACAGTTGATCCATCAAACACCAAACTTGTATGTGTACCTCTTGTGCACTGGATCCTCCTTTTGTCTCGCTGGAGGTGAAACTTCAGTCCTAACAAACAGCAATATGCCCCACCACTAAAACTGAAAAAGGTAAATTTGTTAGAAAATGGCACTTTGCCCTGACAGCCTCAGTGCCACAAAGCCAGAGTGGGCTGAGATGCTAGAGGCTTTAAGGCGTGTGTGAACTACAGTGGCTGAATGTGGCTGGCAGGTTTTTTTTTTTCTTATCTAGCTGGAGAGAGACACCATGTGGTGAGGATGCCTCCTGCTGCTCCAGCAGAGGCACGTGCTTCAAATGGCAAATGATACACCCAGTCTGATTAACGCAAGTGAGCTTTAAACAGCTACTAGAATAAAATGAACTGAATTTTATATAAACGAAAAGGTGGATTTATTTCTCAGTAAAATAAAAAAGTAGGGATAGAGTTTCTATATGACTTCATTAAGGTTTGTAAGTTACGCTGGTACATAGTGCTAAGAAGAAGCAGACAGTACGTCTCTGCTGAACATTTTGTGACATTTGGTGTGAGCTTCATCCACTGGGACAGGGTCTGAGTGACAACGGAGAGCGTGCACTTAGTCTACAGAGTGCTGCCAGCACTTATCATTTATCTGCGGAGAAACTGTCCTCTGCAGGTGCACAGACTCCCTCCTTCTCCTCCTAATGAACTAGAGCAGTTTTGGAGAAAACACAATAAGGGCGCTTCAAGCTTTGTTTTTTCTATTTTCTCTTTTAGACAGCATCACTTTGAATGTGAAAGAACACAACTTGCCTTCATTAACAATGTGATAGCCTGCAGACCAAATGTGAGGTCGTAGCCGACAGCCTGTTTGTGTTAATTGTTAGCCCGTGTGAGCTGGTGTGTGTGTTTGCGCGTGTGTGTGTGTTGGAGTGGGGGGGCTGACAGCTGGCCAGGTTTGAGTTGGTCTAAAACCATGTGCGCTCTGTCAGGGTTGTACAGGCGCCTTCTTTAGGATTGATGAATTGCCTGCTTTCTTGATTAAACCCTCCGTCACTTCCCAACAAAACAAAATCCCAAACACACACAAAAAAGAAAGGGTATAAAAAAAACGAAAGACGAGTTGAGAGGAGAGGTAACATGTCTGGGAAATCTGTCATCTGCAGTCACATCATGTTCAGAGGTGATGTGCAGAAGCTTTGACATTTATTACCCGAATATTAAAAACTAATTCACATTTATTTTGAAGCCCTCCATCACTTGACAGTTCAGGCTCATTTGAAAAGTTATCAAGTGTTCATAGCGGCACATACCCCCCCCCCCTCCATTCTCTTTCCCAACCTTTTTACTTTCCCTCACTGAAAACATTGCTTTGATCCATGCCAACTCGCTTAGCCAATTAGGTCTATTATTCAAGCATTGACAGTAAATCTCGATATTTTAGTGAGATTGTTTGTGCATTGTTTATGCATTACAGAAATGTGTCTTAAATAAAAACAAAAAAAAAAGATGCAAATGCATTAGTTGAAAAGTCTCATATTAAACTTCCTTATGCATGTTGGATTGCAGCCCGCTTTTATTACCAGCTTAGCAAATATATAGCATTCGGCAGTCGTCCACCTGATAAAAAGTTAAATCTAATAAAGAGAGATGCATCTGCATATCTATAGCATTAATCAAAAACAAACACTGACATTGCCCCTGATCTAACATAATATGGAGAACAATTATTTCCCTATCCATTAGAGGAACTTCAATTAACAGACACTAGACAGATCATCCTTCAGATGGGGGGAAAAAAATGGAGGCTCAAAATTAACTTGGGTTTGCAAAATATCTTGGCAGGATGACAGTGATTTTTGATTTTCAGGAAACAATATAGGAATTCTTATTAAACTATGTGCATCTGCTTTTAATTTGCTCCAAATAATTGGAAAATGCAATAGAGCTTTCCAATTAAAGCTCCACTTTATACTGTTTAATAATACCCTCATAATATTATAGCTTATGAAATGACAGGTGAGTTGGTGTATGAATAAAACATAAAGCCCTGTAATAAGAGACAGAAAAAATATCCCAGAGACAGTTGTTGGGGGTTTTTTTAAATGCTCCACATAATTTGCATATATTAATCTCCTCTTTTCAGCCTTATCAAGTATTCCACTGTATTTGAAGTTAAAATAGTCATGACAGGCAGGGGTACGCTTCGTTTTTCCAAGGATTTATTACTTGTATAATTCTGGATCTTTAATAAGCCAATATGACTGATCCTCTGAGTTCTGTGGAATTTGGTTAATTGTTCCAGATGGTGCTCGCTGATTATGCAAAATTACTTTCTTTCTCCTCTTTTTTTTTCCTCTCCCCCCAAACTACACGATTTCTTGATTGACTAACATGAAGAAAAAAGATTATTTTTGGCGCAGCACTTTCATTAAGAGGCTTCTCATCAGGTTTCAAACAAAAGTTCCATCTTATCTCCCCCGTGTAGTTCTAGGCAAGACTGTGCAGAGGGAGGAGATCAGCCAGCTCTTATCTCCAACCATGATGAATCTCAACTGCTTCTGCACGGCTGGGGTTATATTTTAGAATAACACAATTCTTTAGGCTGAAGGATTAAAAAACATGACCTGAGGATAGTGACATAAAAGTTATTATCAACGTATGTCGTCCTTTCCTCACTCCCTTCTCCTTGTTTTCTGCGTGAGAGATTGATGAAATTACTAAGCAGTTTGTTCCGTCTCCTTTTTGCAGCTTCCACTCTGTCCATGACTTGCTAACATTCTGTTTTGCATCAGCTAAACTGAGCTGAATGAATCATTTATGGAAGTGTTACGGGGGAGGCTCGGGCAGATTTACTGCCATGCTTTTACTTAAGATGGAAAGGGATTTCTATGAAACTGATCTTGATGTTTGAAGCAATGCCAAAGCTTGCATCAAGACATGAAAGGAATGCTCTTAAAACCCATGTTTTGCTTCTTAATTTCCCTGGTCAGCAAAGGGGAAACTAGGGGGAAAGTGTAGGGGGAGCACAGTATTTACACCTAATGCATCCACATACACACATACTAAAACAACCTCCAGATAAGAAATAATATAGAGTGCAGAATTTCATTATAGTAAATCTAGGGCTAATAAATCAATGTGTTTAAATTTGCTGTAATTGTGAGTTTGAGCTTTATGTTTTTTTTTGTTTTTTTCATCATGACATAGCAGACTAGCTTCACTCATTTAGTAATGCTGCTGCTTAGCGTTTATAAAAACATGGAGCCAAAAACACACAGCAGCATCGGAAGTAAGTAATATGCTACTGTTCAGAGGAAGAATAACTTATTTATATTCATTTACAATTTTTGTGGCATGCAAAAATATATTATTCTCTCTTCAGTAATCAATTAAATCTTTATGGATTCCTTTTCATAATAGCTGTCCATATTTGTTTCATCTTTTTTTTTTTTTGCTGCATGTTACAAGTAATATTTTAAATATTTATCTTTGGTTATTAATTCTAAGTCTTTGAGGATGGCCTCCTTGCTACCACCCTAATCTGTACCCAATCCAGACTTTCTTAGATTCATGTTGTGGCTCTGGCTCCATAACCTTTCTTTCAGGGAAAAGACAGTTTTTTGATTTAAAAAAAGAGAAAAAATACTTTCTAAATCTAGAAAAGTATGGATAATTGTTGGTTTAAATTCTATAATTTTATTCTAGATTTCTTTATCAGTTCTTTATTCGTTATTTTTCTTTTCTGTAACTGTTGAAATAGGTGAAAAATTTAGAGACCTGTTTTGGAAAGCAATCACACTCAAAAGCGGGTACCTATTCTTAAAAAAAATGGCAAATGTGTCTGTAGAAATAGTTTTAAATGATTTTAGCAGGTACTATAAAGCTTTTGAAGTGTGTGAAGCAAGATTTTATTGATACATGGCAGCAAAAAGACTTTGTCATAATTTTTATGGAAGATAAAATGGAACAAGTTGACATGCATCAACTTTCTTTTCCCACAGTTCATTCAATGACTTCAGACAGTATTGTTGCATATTCAGAAAACCGAAAAAAGAAATTCAATAATATGTGACGAGAGTCAATTGCGTTGAAATACAGCTCAAAATAATTGCTTTTATTCATCCCAAATGTCAGACTGGACTATCCAGGTTTGGCAGCCAAACATGATCACTCCCAGTGTGATGGCGCCATTACGTTTTTTTGAGGATCAATCCTGTCTAAATCCTAATGGATTTTTTGACTGGAGCCTTGAAGCCCCAA